TAATTTTAAAAAAGGAGTCACGTGAGAAGATTTCAGTTTTAATACAAAGAATGGACAAGGAGAAAGTCAAGGTTGGCAGCAAGGATACCATAGAGAGGATATTGCAGAACTAAATAGATGAGTGGTGACGTGGTCTAACCAAAGACCATGAAAATGGGTGGAAAGAATTGGGAAGATCTGAGAAATATTATGGAAGTGATTGCCTGAATGTGGACAGTAAGGGAGAGGATGGAATAATAGTTGACTCCCAGGCTTCCAGCATGGGAAATGACACAGATGATGTCAGTCAGTAAGAGGGGGAGGTGGAGGAGCAGATTCAGGATGAGGAGCTATGATGAGTTTAGTTTTGAACATATTGAATGTGTGGGGTCTAGGGGACATCTGAGTGGGGGTGTTCAGTAAGCAGCTGGATATATAAGTATACCTAAGCATCAAGAGAGAGCAATGGATTGAAGTCACCTACATGTAGGTAGTCAAATCATGGTTGGACACTGGAAAATAGCACATAGAAGTGGTGAGCACATAAGAAGATGGAGCAGGAGTGGACAGAGGTTGGGAGAAAAATAGGGTACATGGAATTACAGAAAAGAGTGGGAAAATAGTTTTAAGAAGTCATCAACATCAAATCCTAGTGGGGTCACCCATACATAAATGGGTGCTGAAATTTGTCCACTGGCAGTAGCAACAGAAAAGTCATGCACTACTAGAGGGATCATCTGGGTTTGCTCAGCACTGTCCCCAAGTGTGCTTGTTGTCCCAGTATTATTGTTATTAGCACATCCTGGTGTCTAAATTTGGATAATAAACTATATGACCATCTCAGCCACTGGCTGGTGAGAGTCAAGATAGACTGCGGTGGGTGTGCTGTGTACTTAGTCGCTCAGTCATGTCCAACTCTGTGCAACTCCACGGATTGGAGCCTGCCAGGATCTCTGTCCATGGGGATTTTCCAGGGAAGAATACTGGAGTGGGTTGCCATTTCCTCCTCCAGGGGATCTTCCCAACCCAAGGATCAAACCCAGGTCTCCTGCATTGCAGGTGGACTCTTTACTATCTGAGCCACTGGGGAAGCCCACAGTGGGAAGCGAAGTGAATTTGAAGAAGTGAAGTCGTTCAGTCGTGTCCGACTCTTTGCGACCCCATGGACTGTAGCCTACCAGGCTCCTCCATCCACGGGATTTTCCTGGCAAGAATACTGGAGTGGGTTGCCATTTCCTTCTCCAGGAGATCTTCCTGACCCAGGGATGGAGCCTGGGTCTCCCATATTGTAGGCAGACGCTTTACCATCTGAGCCACCAGGGGAGTCCAGGGAAGAATTTGAAGGGGGAGACATCAAACAAGGGAACTTTTCGAAAGAGTGTGGTGAGGTTGTTAAAGAGGGAATTTTAACATCAGATGGACATTGAACTAGATGGATTTCAAACATTCTTCCAATCCTGGGACTAGTTCATAGAGCACCATATTCCTTTACTATCTTCAGTTCTTTGGAATCAGTGAGAATAAGGACTTTGTTATGCTTATGTTCTCACTTTCAGAGGTAAATGCTACGTTTTACAAATTACTTTGCAAAGCCAACATTTTATAAATAAAACCTTTACTATTCTACATTCATTCTTGAAAATGAATACTAATTACCTGAACCCATTTTCATCTATCAAAAAGGCAATATAAAGCAGAAATGTGTGAAGTGATTATCTCCCTACAGAAATTACAGCTAGTCCTAAATTAAGTTGAAAGAATCATTTTATCTTTAAAATTATTTTGTATGATAAAGTGTTAATAATTACGTTGTAAGTAAATGTTCTGCCTCTTATTGAAAATACTGTTTGATCTAGGAAAGCTAAGGGAAAAAAAAATACATGCCTTCAAGTTTTTTTTACACCTAATATGTCTTCTGATTTTTGGTACTTCTAGGTTAGACCAAACTGATGTCTGAGAGAGCTTAAACATATTTAAAATAAGAAAGATGTAAATAATGTGAGCATTTGTCTGTATACCATTTAGATAGAAAAACCCAAGGTGCTTAAAACAATCATTAAGTATGTTAATCTCTAGTTGCATCCATGTTGCTACCAATAGCATTAATTTCACTCTTTCTTATCGGTTCAGTTCAGTTTCTCTGTCGTGTCTGACTTTGTGACCCCATGGACTGTAGCACGCCAGGCTTCCCTGTCCATCACCAACTCCCGGAACCTACTCTAACTCATGTCCATCGTGTCGGTGATGCCATCCAACCCTCTCATCCTCTGTCGTCTGCTTCTCCTCCCACCTTCAATCTTTCCCAGCATCAGGGTCTTTTCAAATGAGTCAGTTTTTTGCATCAGGTAGCCAAAGTATTGGAGTTTCAGCTTGAGCATCAGTTCTTCCAATGAACACTCAGGACTGATCTCCTTTAGGATGGACTGGTTGGATCTCCTTGCAGTCCAAGGGACTCTCAAGAGTCTTCTCCAACACCATGGTTCAAAAGCATCAATTCTTCGGCACTCACTGTCTTTATGGTCCAACTCTCACATCCACACATGACTACTAGAAAAACCATAGCTTTGACTAGACGGAACTTTGTTGGCAAAGTAATGTCTCTGCTTTTTAATATGCTAAGTTGGTCATAGCTTTTCTTCCAAGGAGCAAGCGTCTTTTAATTTCACTGCTGTAGTCACCATCTGCAGTGATTTTGGAGCACCCCAAAATAAGGTCTCTCACTGTTTCCGTTGTTTCACCATCTATTTGCCATGAAGTGATGGGACCAGATGCCATGATCTGAGTTTTCTGAATGTTGTTTTAAGCCAACTTTTTCACTCTCCTCTTTCACTTTCATAAGAGGCTCCTTAGTTCCTCTTCACTTTCTGCCATAAGGGTGGTGTCATCTGCATATCTGAGGTTATTGATATTTCTCCTAGCAATCTTGATTCCAGCTTGTGCTTCATCCAACCTGGCATTTCACATGATATACTCTGCATATGAGTTAAATAAGCAGGGTGACAATATACAGCCTTGACGTACTCCTTTCCCGATTTGGAACCAGTTTTGCTGTCCCATGTCCAGTTCTAACTGTTGCTTCTTGACCTGCATACAGACTTCTCAGGAGGCAGGTCAGGTGGTATGGTATCCCTTCTCTTTAAGAATTTTCCACTGTTCGTTGTGATCCACACAGTCAAAATCTTTGGTGTAAATGAAGAAAAAGTAGATGTTTTTCTGGAACTCTCTTGCTTTTTCAATGATCCAGCAGATGTTGGCTATTTGATCTCTGGTTCTTCTGACTTTTTGAAATCCAGCTTGAACATCTGGAAGTTCACGGTTCTTTTTTTATGACTGAGTAGTATTCAATTGTGTATATGTACCACATCTTTTTTATCCATTCATTTGTCATTGGTGTATATGTACCATGTCTTCTTCATCCATTCATTTGTCAATGGGCATTTAGATTGTTTCCCTGTCTTGGCTACTGTGAAAAGTGCTGCTGTGAACATGTATCTTTTTGAATTATAGTTTTGTCTGGTTATATACCTAGGACTGGGATTGCAGGTCAGAAACAGAAATACCATATGATATCACTTAGATGTGGGATCTAAAATATGACACAAATGACCCTATCTGTGAAATAGAAATAGAGTCAGACATAGAGAACAGATTGGTGGTTGCCAAGGGAAAGGGCTGGATTGGGAGTTTGGGATTAGCAGATGCAAACTGGTATATATAGAATGGAAAAAAAATAAAACCAAGGTCCTATTGTATAGCACAGGAAACTATATTCAATATCCTGTGATAAACCATAATGGAAAAGAATATGAAAAAGAATAACTGAGTGACTTTGATGTATAACAGTAATTAACACAGCATTGCAATTCAACTATACTTCCATAAAAAATAAATAAAAAATAAAGACATTTCACCAAGGGAAAAATGAAACAAAAGACTTAATCATTATCATAAGTAAAGTAATATCTTAGGACAACAGAAAAGTTATACCGAAAAATGACTTTGAAGTCCATATGGATACTGGGCAAGGAAAGAAGACAACTTCAAGACCTTCTGTCTTCAGCAGAAGAGTTAAAACTGCTGGTAAATGTCCTCACAGGAGCCTCTCTCTCATTGCTGTTGAATTTGACTATTGAAGGTCAAGCTTCCAGCCATATGCCTGTCCTTCTCTCCCTGCTCCAGTTCATTTAGTTCAGTTTGAGTAATTAGGTACCATGGTGTTACAATAGGGTGACTTTTAAAAGCCCCTTTTCACTGTTAAGCTGCAAATGGCTCCCTTTAAAAAAGGGGGTATTTCTGTGAAAGAAACTGGGAAAAGAAGCTAATGGAGGCCCTAATGTCTCTGATTGAATGCCTGTGAATGGCTCCATAAAACAGGCTGCAACAGAGGAGGATTTTCTTCCCTTCTCCCAACGCAGGCATCAAACCCAGGTCTCCCACATTGCAGGAGGGCTCTTTACCAGCTGAGCCTTAAGGGAAGCCCAAGAATACTTGGTGTGGGGAGCCTATCCCTTCTCCAGCAGATCTTCCCGACTCAAGAATTGAACCGGGGTCTCTTGCACTGCAGGTGGATTCTTTACCAACTGATGTATCAGGGAAGCCCCATTACACACTGAAGGTGTCAATAACAAAATTATGCCAAAGACCCTATTTTAAATAATATATGCCCTTTGTTCTTCTAATCAACTCTACAGCATAATATACTGCTTTTCTGAGTTCCAGGTCATTTGCCCAGACCTTCTTTGTATCATCTATTTGTCTCTCTTGTGTGTATTTGTTTTGCAGTAAGCAATGGCCTTGGTTTGGCTTCTCTTCTGGCTGGCCACTACCACATAGAATCTGAATGTCCAACCATTTTCCAGGAACAGAAAGAAGAGCCTCTGCTTGTCTGTTTCAGTGGCAGCTTGGTGGTAAAAAGACTGTTGAATGGGCCACGATTTCAGCAGACCATCACGTGAATGGGACCAGTCTCTTTTCTTCCCAAACATCAGAAATTAAGCACTTCAAAAGGAGATTCGGCCAAGATGACCCATTTACAGGCTGGACTCAGCCCAGAGACTATAGAGAAAGCGCGCCTGGAATTGAATGAAAACCCAGACGTTTTACACCAGGATATCCAGCAAGTCAGAGACATGATCATCACCAGGCCTGACATCGGATTCTTACGCACAGATGATGCCTTCATCCTGAGGTTTCTCCGAGCCAGGAAGTTTCACCAAGCAGATGCCTTCAGACTCCTGGCCCAGTACTTCCAGTACCGCCAGCTAAACTTGGACATGTTCAAAAACTTCAAGGCCGATGATCCTGGCATTAAGAGGGCTCTCATCGATGGGTTCCCTGGAGTGTTGGAAAACCGTGATCACTACGGCAGGAAGATTCTTCTGCTGTTCGCAGCCAATTGGGATCAGAGTAGGTAAATGTAGATAGTGTCTTTATTTGGTTTTTCTGTTTCATAAGCATTGTCACTGCATGTTTGGGGCTATAAGCCTTTATGGATAATGGGCTCTTATTTAAACATATATATTCTCTACACCCAGGCTTCCCAGATGGCACCAGTGGTAAAGAACCTGCCTGCTCATGCAGGAAACATTAACATATGTGGGTTCGATCCATGGGTCAGGAAGATCCCCTGGAAGAGGGCATGGCAACCCATTCCAGTATTCTTGCCTGGAGAATCCCACAGACAGCAGCGTCTGTCGGACTATAGTCCATAGGGTTGCACAGAGTCAGACATGACTGAAGCTACTTAGCTTGCATGCATGCACTCATTATCTTCATCCACAAAGAAAATTTCAAGGCCATAGGTCTTTCACTGCCATCAAAAGGTGATTACAGATCCACAACAATGTTTTGGAACACAAGTTAGAATTATAGAGACCTCAGAAGTTATTCTATTCATCAAAGGTGGTCATATATTTTCATAAAACTGGAATCTGGTCTTTTAGAAGATCTATATATTCTGTCTTTCATGTTCTCATCTTTAACAATAACAAAAGTGGATTCAGTAGATGGCTTTAAATCAAGTATTTTCAACACATGAAATAATTCCTTGGCACCTGTTCATGAGTTTAATGTCTGACATTTTTTCTGCATGCCAGACCTTTCCATTCAAATGCCTTTGAGCATTTCTCCTGAAAGTCCCATAAAGAACTACAAACTCAGCATGTCCCAAACTGAGTGCATCATCTGTCCCGCTCTTCCATCCATCCAGTCTCCTGAGCCAGAAATCTGAGTGTCTCCCTGGACCGCTCCCTGCCATTGCTCCTCACATTTCATTACTTGCTGAGTCCTGCTCCTTTCTGTTTAAAACCGGCTCGAATCTCTTGTTTCTCTTGGCCCCCATGGCTACTGCCCTAGTGTAAGTTCTCATTTCTCACCTGCATCACCCAGACAGCCTTCTGACAGGCTCCTTGCCTCTAGTCCAGTCTCCTCTGAGCCAATCTAGTCTTTACAATCGTCAGTGTAACCCTCCCCAAATTCTGCTTTGTGACTCCTCTCATTAAAATTCTTCCATGACCTGCAAGTCTTCAAAGTAAAATAAAGCCCTTTACAATTCATCTTCTGCATCTCCTGCTCTGCTTCACCCTCTGCCCTTTGTCATGGTCTCCAGTCCAGCTGGTTAGAAGTGTAAGCTTTGCCTTAAATACTAATAATTGTGGTTTTGACATGTCTCCAAGCCTCTGGACTCACTCCACCAGAGACTTAAAGGAGGGATCAACTATTTTGTATGCCAAGTCCAATCAGCCTGGACATAACCTGCCCACTGCCTCATTCCTATCTCTAGCGTTCTTCGGGAAGGTAGTCTTCATCAATGTCCATCCCAACCCTGTTTCAGTGAGGTGTATTCCTCTGCTCACGTATTTCCACTCAAGTATTTACAATAGGAGTTTAAGAAGCACTGTTATTATAGCTGATATTTTTGAATACATATAATCTCATTTAATCCACCCAAGAAGTCTTCATGATGGTATTCCTAGGATCCCAATTTTACATTTGATGATGCAGGGTTTTGTGAAGTTAAGCAGCTCATTCAGTGTCACACAACTAGTGAGATACAGAATGGGGGTTGACTTGAGAGCGAGTTCTCTTATCTTGGCTTTATTGTAATTTCATGCTTACGTGTGTGTTCTTTCTTACCCCTCCTCCCAAGAATGCAGTTTCCTTGAGGGCAACAGACTGCACCTTTTTCATGTTTATCTCTTGGGCACATAGTCCAATAGGCAATAAATGTTGAATTAGAAAGAATGTATGAATTAATCTCCAAAACTTCACCTGTGACTTGAGTTCTCACAGCGGTATCATACTGAAATTATGGTGCTTGGGGAAACACAGGTTTAACTTTCAAAATATACCAAAGAGCCCCTCATCCAAATATAATGAAAAGAAATTTCTAGGGTGCTGTTTAGTGCCTCATATGACTAGGCCTCACCCTAAAGATAATGATTAGCATAGGACACCTTAGCGATCCCACTGACTGTTTTCTGGTTGAAAAATTGGAATAGGGCAATCTAGATGGGGAAGGACAGGGAAACCTGGCATTCTGCAGTCCACGGGGTTCAGAGTCAGACACAAGTGAGTGACTAAACAACACAACAAACCCTGAAAAGGTATTTGAATGTTGTAATGCTATCAGTCTATATATAGACTGTTCAGATCTGCACCTCAGCCCAGGCTGCCCTGCTATGTCTCTGCTCTGTTATCCCATAAGCATTAAGGATGAGCCTCTCATTACAGTGTTCTACTGATAAGAAAGATTTCCAGGTCTTTTTTCTTCATATGCTAACTTGCTACCTGTATATATTTTATTGTGAAGGATCTGCTAATGAATTTGGTCCATTTTTTTTTCTTTTAAACTGATGAACCTATTTGCAGGGCAGGAATAGAGATGAAGATGTAGAGGACAGACTTGTGGACACAGCAGAGAAAGGCGAGGGTGGGGCAAATTGGGAAGTTGGGATTGGCATCTATTACACGACCACGTGTAATGACAGCTAGTGGGAAGCCGCTGTGTGACACAGGGAACCCAGCCGGATGTCTGCAACAACCCAGTGGGGTGGGAGGTCGGTGGGGGTGGGAGGGAGGCTTAAAAGGGAGCAGACGTATGTATACTCATGGTTGATTCGTGTTGTTGTGTGTCAGAAACCGACGGAACATTGTAAAGCACTTATCTTCCAATTAAAGATTTCCAGGTCTTCACATTCACCCATACATCATTCACTCAACAAACATTTGATGAGTGCAGGCTTGGTGCTAGAGTGTGTGCTAAGTCACTGAGGCCATGATGAAAATACAAGGTCTCCCCCAGCAAACAGTCCTTTGGGCAGCCACTGTCCGGTAATGACGCAAACACATGGGCGGCTGACCCCTACCTACCACAGGAGGATTCCTTCTGAGACATAAGCCATCCGCAGAGGACAGGAGCCCTAGCAGGAACAGCTGTCCTCTCGGAGAGGACACACCAACATTTTGGGTTTTGAAACAGTAAAATCTGGTGACTCTGGAGAATGATCATGCTGACTTCATAGGTGCTTAGTTGTCATACGTGTTCGAGAATTTCCATCTGCTAAGACAGGGGATACACAGAACACCAGTCAGCGATGATTTACACACGAAGAGACACATCATCACTCAGTATCTTGTTTTCTGTTAGTCTCTGGTCTGTAAATATCTCCAAATGTGGTGTTAAGAAGCAAAAAGAAACACGTCTCCAAGGGAATCACTCAAATCTTAATGATTATGATAACCTTGAACGAGTTACATCATGTCTCTGCTCCTCAGTTTCCTCAGGTGTAAGATGAAGAGCATGAACTAGGTAATCTCTGAAACACCTTCCATCTCTAATGGTTCATGAATGTGAAGCTCATTCAGCCTGATCCTATGGATGGAGAGGGAGTTTAAACTTCACTTTATAGGCTTCTGATTCAGTAGGCTCTTTGAAGTAATCTCTCTCACACACACATGTACAAACATATACACTCTTACTTCCACCCCTCCTCTCTTCCTCCACCAAAGGCTGGATCTACTTGAAGCAGCTTTATTTTTAACTTTTTATTTCATACTGGAGTATAGCTGATTAACAATGTTGTGATAGTTTCACAATGGATAATGTATCCATTATCACTTCCCTCCTATCCAGGCTAGAGGCAGTTTTTTTTTTTTTAATTTAATTGTAGAATACTGTTTGTTCCAAACCATTTTGGCTTTAACAAGAAGGTGAAAGGTTAAGGCTATCCCACTGATAGCCAAAGATGATCAGAAGCAAACAAACCTTAGTCTGAAACAAGGATACTGTCATGTGATTTACTGGTTATATGACCCGGGCAGGACAAGTAACCTCTCCGTTTTCTGACTCTGTTTTCTCACCTGGAAGATGGGGATGATAAGCAAGGTTATTTAATAATGTAGCTGAGAAGACTGAATGAAATAATGCATTTAAGGTACACACCTTAAATTTAATTTAATGGTACATGGTAAGCACTCAGTAATACTACAAGTATTAACATGAATACTATAATGGGTTTATAGTATCCAGTGGTAAAGAATACATCTGCCAATGCAAGAGACTCAGGTTCGATCCCTGGGTCAGGAAGATCCCCTGGAGGAGGAAATGGCAACCCACTCCAGAATGCTTGCCTGGGAAATCCCATGGACAGAGAAGCTACAGTCCATGGGGTTGCAAAGAGTTGGACATCACTTGGCAATGAAACAAGAGAAACAAATAAATATAATATAGCACAGATGGTAAATAAATTGAAACCAGAGACAAGAGCATGATATTTGAAGGTGGAAGTGGGCCAATGAGTCTATCTGCCCCTTGCTGTCCTCAGCACTTGTCGGCTTTCTCCCCAGACATGTTCCCCATCACCCAGACCTAGCCTAACAGAGCCCCAGAGGCCTGAAGAGTTGGTATAGCTTTGCAAAATGATTGCTTGACTCTCTTGGGGAGCCTGAGACAACTGGAAAGCTATTTGAAAGTCTCGTATGAAAGGTTTACTGAGATTAAAACTGTTATTAATATTTATTAAAACTATGTAAATCTCATTCATCTAGACCCTGGACAGCCTGAGCGAGAGCACAGACTGGTGAGTGACGGGGAGTGCTGTCCGCCAGGGGCACGTGCAGAGCTGAGTATGTACACAGAGGCCCAGGAGTCTCTGGGCTCCCAGCACATCCACTAGCCTCCTGCAGAAATGGGGTCTTGGCAGGAGCTTCTAGACTTTTCTGTCTTTTCTGAGGCAGCTGGGCTGAATGGAAATGAGTCAGATTAAATCAGCCCCTACCTACTCATTTGGGATTTCCAGGTGGCACAGTGGTAAAGAATTTGCCTGCCTATCCAAGAGACACAAGAGATGTGGGTTCCATCCCTGGGTCAGGAAGATCCTCTGGAGAAGGAAATGGCAACCCACTCCAGTA